CCCCCCAAGCCCCGCGGGGGTTCCAGGCCCCCAGCCGCGGCCTCCCCTTCCCCTCAGGAGCCGCTGGGCCCCGCCGCCCACCGTAACCCCCAGACCCCTCAGCCTTTCCTTAGGGAGGGGGTCAGGAATCCTTCCCCCCCCCTCCCCAAAACCCTGTCAGCCTTGCCCTGACACCTTCCCTCCACAGAGCGCGGCCATGAAGGTGGTGAACCTGAAACAGGCCATCCTGCAAGCCTGGAAGGAGCGATGGAGCGACTATCAGTGGGCCATAAATATGAAGAGGTTTTTCCCTCGTGGAGCTACCTGGGACATCCTCAACCTGGCAGGCTTTCTGTTTTGGGGCTACTTGCAGAGGGTGGTCCTGTTGCTTCGCCCAGAGAAGGCCTCGCAGTTAAGCTGGCCTAAAGCTCAGCCTGTGACAGAGGGCTGGCCTGGTGGGAGACCCAGGCAGGGCTGGGATCGCCGCTGGCTGCAGCGACACGTGCCGAAATGGGGCCGCTGGGATCGCCCCTGCTCTTCCCCGACACCGCTCACCACCCGGCTGCACGCAGGCTCCCACAAGCTGCCTCAGTTTCCCCCAGTGAGAGGGGTTTTAATGAGCCCGTCTGCCTCATCAGTGTCTCTAGCCAAGGGAGCGAAAACCGCTGCGAAGGAGCCAGGTGCTGCTCCAAAGGCTGCTTCCCACCCCCGGTTATTAGGGTTTCTTTTCCCGTCCCTATTCAAGGGCGTTTGACACAAATCCTGCCAAACGTTGGTACCTGCTGAGCTCCACGGTTTAAAGATTTGCCAGGCTTTTATGCCAATTATAGAAACTTGTTGCTAGGTTGTTTTTTTTTTTTTTTCCTGTGCAGCAAGCTTGTGTTTGCAAGCCCTGGATAAATAAACAGAGCGCTGCTCGAGGATTGCTGCACCGGGGGATTTAAAGGGAAATTGCCCCGGTGCAGGCGGCAGCGCTCCTTGCCGAGGTGGGGGACCTTTCCTCAGCGGGTCTTTTTTAACTCCCTCCGTCCTACCGGTGTTTCTTCTGGTGCATTTTCTCGACCCACATCCTCACAACTGAGCTCCTGAGGTGGGGTTTGTCCCCTCCTGCTGTGGCCCATGGCGAGGTCAGCACATGGATGTGCCAAGCCTCATGGTGATGTGGGGCTGGAGGAGCCGAGCTGGAGCTGTGGGGCTGTGGCAGTGGGGAAGCTCCGGGGAGATGGGTTTACTCAGGGTGGGGGCTGCAAGTGCAGTGGTAGGGGATGCGGGGGGAGGATGGTTGGCTCGAGGGCCAGCCCTGCCACTGGCCAGCTGGTCCCCAGGGTTCCCTGGTGCCTGTTCCCAGCCCAGAGGGACTGGTTCCTGTTCCGCTCGCTGAGGCAGCGAGGTCTGTGGGGTGTTTGGTGTGGGCCCATCTGCGTATCCCCAAAAGCAGGGCTAGAGATAATCGGTCCCTATGATTTCTGTAGAAACAAATTTCTCCTGGCCAACTTTTAGCCAGGGAAAGGATTGTTAGCCTGGGCTTTGTTGGAGGGCAGCCCCTCTGCAAGGAGGGGAAGGGAGCTGGGTCCCTTTTTTCCCTGCTGCAAAAGCCAGCTTAAAAGGGAAGGATGCTGACACCAACGCTGTCCCAGGCAGCACGAGTGCTGTGGGCACACAGGGAAGCTGTTCCTGAGGTCCCTGATGGCTGTAACAACTGCTGCCTCCCTCTCCACAGCCCTAGAGCCGTCCTTTCCCAAGCTCGTGCCTTTCAGATTTAAACTACAAAGGAGGAAAAGCTGGCATGAGCTGCCAGGATTCGTGGCGGTGCCCAGCAAATCTATGCTGACACGTCTGCAGTGGGTAACAGCATGCGGCTGGCTCGTGTTGACACTCCTTGATTAGATGGGGAGGGGAAGGCTGCCATTAGCCTTCTGTCCTCGAGCTGAGATGCTTTTGGCCGAGGTCTCAGCCTTCGAGCGAGACCCAGGGAGTCTCCTGCTCCCACAGTCAGGATCCAGTGACGGCTGCTGCTCCTCCTCGCCTTTGGGGCGACGACTTCCCAAATGGCTGCTGCCCCCTCTTGCATCTGGGTGCTTTGACCTACTTACAGCCCGTGCCGCAGCCCGGGGCCTGCTTTTGGGAGGTGGTTTCTGCGCTCTGCCATAGTTCAAATGGTCAATTAAAGGCTTGACTGAGCAGATAGGACGGGCAGAGCCCCTCCAGCGTCCACGGGCAGGCAGCCGGCGGCAGGGAGGGCCAGACGTGCAGGGCTGGTCCCAGCTGAGAGGGGCTGTCTGCCCGGAGTTCAGCCCCAGGTGCCAGAGCAAAAGTCACTCGGTGGAGGATACGGGAGCCTCCTGGGCAGGACGTGGGAGGGAGGGGAACATGTTTGGAGAGCAGCAGGCACTGTTTTGGGGCCAGGGTGCCTGGGGAGAGCTGAGTTAGCAGGAGGCTGCTTGCAGTGCCTGAATTATTTACCAGCTTTTGCCGTCGGGGATTAGAAAGTTGTGGGATTCAGTTAATTTCAGGGAAGAGTGGTGTGGAGTTGCTGTGGTTAGCACAATTTGTCTTTGCCACCTTTCCTGTGGGATGAGGGCAGAGCATGCATGTGTCCGAGTATGCCCGCTCCGTGTATGCGCTGACCTGGGACCTCCCGGCCCCTCTCCTCCGCTTGCAGAGGCTCTTCTCGAGCAGGCCATGATCGGGCCGTCGCCGAACCCACTCATCTTGTCCTACCTGAAATACGCTATCAGCTCCCAGGTAATGACACTCCCTGTGCTGCCTCCCTGTCTCACACTGCAGACGCTGCGGGGTGTCGCCTGGCAGCCCCAATTAGCAAGTGGGCAAAGAAACCGGGGTGTGGAGTTGGTGGGGGGTGGACACCCTAAATCTCCCGTCTGTGCCTCGCTCAGGCGGGTGCTGGAGGGCTCAGTGTGTGCCTGAGGCAGGGATGTTTCTGTAAAAAGCCTCTGCCCCTCACCCGGCTGCATGCAGGGTAGAAATCCTTGCCCTCCGAGAGCCTTTGCGCTTGCTGTAACCTCTGTGCTTTCTTAGCGCGGCATTTAATATCGCCTAAAGTTTGTGTGAAACAAATCAGTGATCACCTAAAAACGTCTCTTTGGATTTGTGCCGGGTCAGTGCCCCAGCCCCGTCTGCGGTGACAGGCAGCGGGGCCGTGCCCTGACCTTGCCATTCCTCAGCAACAAGCACCGCGCTGGCAAACATCGCCCGCTAACACGCCGCTGCACCGGCTTTGTTTTGGTTTTGTGTTTTGTTCGTAGATGGTGTCTTATTCCACGGTCCTGACGGCCATCAGCAAGGTAAGGCTCTGACAGGTGCTGTCTGAGGTTTTTCTCTTTACCTATGACCCGCGTATCCATTTCCCTCCCCACAACTCTCATCAAATATAGGTCAAGTGGAAAACGACATCCTCTGCTGAGTCAGCAGTGGTCAGACAGCGCAGATTAGCACCCGAGTCCTTCCGTGTCCTGCTGGGGACAGGCTGCTGCCATGCCTGACAGGTCCCACTTTGGTTTCAGGGACGGCCGCGGGTGTGAAAGCCTCGCCCCCCCATCGTGTGGGGCCTGGCAGGCTCCTGCCCCGCAGTGCTCTGTGTGTAAACCACGCCTTGGCTGCCGGAAACCACATCCCTTTGCGGCCGGCGGCCCTGGCAGCGCCGTGGGGATCCAGAGCTGGCGATGGAAAAGCAGTGCCGCTCATAAGGGAGGGCTGCCAGCACCCAAGCCACGCAGCTGTGGCCACCCGCCCTGCTTGGCCGGCTGGCTTCCCACGGGTGCTCAGCATCCCTGTGCCACTTCGATGGGGACGAGCCCTCTGCGGCTGCCTCTGCTCAGCATTTGGGGCCGCTCCATGGGGAGCAATAGCCCCTTGCAGGCTGCGTCAGGCCCCCTGCCCTCCCCGGGTGCTAGCCTTGTCAGGGTGACCTCTGATCTGAAAAACGAATAATTCAGGGTGGAATACTTTCTTTTCTCCCACCTCCTTGTGGTTACTGGGGGGCAGGAGGAGAAAGGCGCTGGTAGCCACATGATGCTGGTATTGTTTTGAGGTGCCGCGGGCTGAGCCCAGACCTGTGCTTAAATGTGCTGCAAAGCCCCAGGGAGTGTGGGGACCCCTCCAGTGGGGCTCAGCACCTTTCCAGGGCAGTGGGCGCACTCCGAGGGGGAGGGTAGAGCCAGTGTACAGCTGGCTGATGCCGAGCACAGCAGTAGGTCTGCTCCGAATGGCGCAGGCTCCTCACCGTTCCCCTGGTTGTGCGTCGCTGCCCATTCCGGCAGGGTAGGCAGAGAGCTGACCTTGACAGCTGAGGCTTCCTCCTTCAGATCAGCGTGGGCTGAGAGCAGACCTGCGGGCTAGCTCCGGCCCGGCGGGGTGGCCCCATCTGCTCTGCAAGGAGGCGGGGAGCTGCGCTTCTGCTGCCCACCGCCCTCCTGGCCCTGCGGCCAGCCGGGCTGTTGGCACGTG